AGTGGTTGTGGCGCGACCTTGCGGTGGGCGACGGCTGGCGAGGACGCGCGTCCACGGTGGGTCTTCTGTTAACGACACGTAACGCCTGACCTGAGTGCTAGCGCTGAATCCCTTGTCCCACTGAACGCATCTCGATTTTACACGTATGCTTCCCTTAACGGAATATGTGGCATTGATATAAACCATTGACAAATGTTCAATTTTGACTTGATGTTGCGCACCATTGTTACATTAGTACAAATATGTTTTGGTGTCCCTCCAACACATGCTAAATGCTGTTGGAGAAAACGAGATCTAACCACAGCATCTATAACTACAAAAGCGATGGATCTATTTTTGGTGGTTAGTAATTTCCCATAAAACTGTCAACAATAAATGCAATTCAATACTCGAGTGGCTAATCGTAATGAAGGTGTAGGTTCTTGCTCGCCACCATCTGCATATTAAGCAATCAAACACATACACGTTAAGTACTAATTAAGCGCCAAAATACTACTGTGACTCTCTGCATAAACCCATTGATTGGCACCGAGCCACACCTCCGTAGCATTAGCTTAGCACTGATTAGTCAGTTGATTACATGTCACACTGGAAGCTCACAGACTTCGGTGATATTGATGGTGGTGGCATCAACTACGCCAGTAAGTGAGCAATGGGCGTGTCATCTGAAGCTCTCTAGGAGGCAGTGAAGTGTTCAATTTGCCCAGGGACCTGCAAGGACGCATATTGTCTGCCATGTGAACATTTCTTATGCAGAGAACCCTGTTTGCAGGGTTTGCTCAGTGCAGAACGATCCACCTGCCCAGATTGCAGGCAAGGCTTCTCCAGAGAAGATGTGAGGTCATTCCGTACCCTCAATGCTTGGCCAAAGCGTATTCAGGAGGCTCCCCAAGCAAACCAACAAGACAACTTGGCAATATGCCCAATATGCGTCCGGCAGGTAGAAACGCCGCTGAAGATGTCAGAACTCTTTTCGAAAATGGTGTGCGGTGACTGCTGGCGAACGGGCGAAATGCTCCGTGAATCTATTGTGGAAGAACGCATCCAGCCAGCAGCTTCGCGTGGCATTATTCGCAGTGGTGAAGTCGATCTGCAGGGCAACCAACAGGCCAGGAATGCATGGTGTCATTTCTGCTCTCAATGGGTAGACACACCGCTGCAGATGACGCAGTACTTTACAAAACCGGTGTGCAATGATTGCAGTAGGTCGGCAGAGAGGCCCATTTGCAGCGCTAGCCGCAACAGAAGCCGACTTGTTGGTGAGCAAGACATGGGATATGTTTCTGACTTCGCTCCTGGGGAGGAAAGCGGAGATCGCGTTAATCACATCGAGCGAAGGCTAGCACAGAACCCTCCAGCAGCATATGGGGAAGGTACTTGGCAAGACAACCAACAGGCCAGAGGAGCACGATGTCCCATATGTTCTTGAAGGGTAGAAACGCCGCTGAAGATGTCGGAATACTTTTCGAATGTGGTGTGCGGTGACAGTTAGAGAACTGGCGAAATGATCCGTGAGTCCCTTACGTGCGAACCTATTCACATTCCATCTTCGAGTGCCGTTCGCCGCAATGGGGAATCGGCTGTGCAAAACGACAAACAGATCAGGGATGGATTTAGATGTTCCTTCTGCTCCCGAAGGATAGAAACCCCGCTGCAGATGCCGCAATACTTTACAAAACCGGTGTGCACTGATTGCAGAAGGTCAGCAGAAAGGCTCGTTACTGACAACATCAGAAATAGAAGGCATATTGTTGGCGATCGGAAGATTCACACAGAGCGAACAGCACTCCAGAATCCTCCAACTGTCAGTCCACATAATTTACCCAGAAATACACATCAGCACGCTTTTAGAAATTGGTGTGCGTGGGTTGCTAGAGATTGGCCGAAATGTTCCAGGCAGATTCTTGTGGTGGCGTTATCAGCAGTGGGGTGGCCACTGAGCAAAACGAATAAAGAAGGGAAAGTGTCAATGCGTCCTTTCTGTGGCCGACAAATGTACGCGTTACAACTGGCGTCACATTCCAGCTCAGACAATAAAAAAAGACTCCCCACGCAAAGCTAATTAGACCAATAAACTCCTGTAAGAATTATGGCGACGCAGTGTTGCTTGTTTTGCAGCATAGGAATTGTCAAACCTATACACAATTGACTGTAAGATCTGTTGTGTGCTGGATTAGGTAGTGCGGTTAAGTGACGGACTTAGAGTCAGAGTAAAATTGCCCCTTCGTACTATGGCGTATATGACACACTTTCAGGCGTGTGATATCTCAACGACCACGTTATGCGTTTCTGTTAAAATTTTGTTTTCTTTGTCATATCTAGGTGTTGTTTGGTAAGCGCAGCTTGGCAGCCATAATTTGCCGATAGAACCGGAAAGGCCAGTTCCAGGAAGCATTTTAGAAGTAAAAGATGCGATCGCTGGAACAAGAAGTGTATTTGCCAACGTTTCGGATTCTGTCGAGAACCTTTCCCTAGGGGTTACCGTACAATAGGATGATAGATGCAGAAATAACGGTAATACAAATCTGCGAATCCTGCAAGCAACTTTTGGGACGTAATTTAACTTGGTAGTTTAGCGTTTATCTTGATAGGTTATTTTGATCAACTGAGTGAATTTAATGATGAGAGGGGCTTTGGTTTGGAAAACTGCCCTCCGATTTAAAGTTATTGGGGAAAATAACCTCTCATTTTTGCTTAATCATGAGTATGTTTATATAAAAGAAATTTCATAGGCGATAAAGAAAGACGGGTTAAACCTTTCTTCTAACATACATTGTGCTGTGGAAGAATTCCATAATTAGTAAAAAAATTTGGAATAAATATCCCTTTCAGTACTGGAAAATTCTGCGCGAAGTTGATCAAATGGCACTAAAGCGAAATTTAAGGAATCGCATTTATTTTTAGAAACAAGCAGCTACAGTTTTAAAAGTTATATTTAGCTACTCTCTGAGGTTGTTTTTCAAAAAATTCCGTGATAAAAACGTTCTTGGTAGAACATTTTCTTCAACCGCACACCTGGCCGTGTGGGTAAACAAAATTTCTACATCCTACGGCGAAGACAGTCTCTAGAAGGCCTTATTGAATGCAAGTCATGTAGAAATATAGTTTTTTGTAAACAATACGTTAGGCTAAAACGTTATTTAGTAACGGAATAGACGGAAGAAAAATAATTATTTCAAAAAACGGCAGTGTATATGGCCAGATTCTTTGCATTCGTACGATCTTACCAGTAGGTGGAATTAATCCTCTAATGCGAAAAATAATCCATGAAAAAGAGAAAAAAAAGATCTTTCATCTCGAGTCAAATTAAATCGTTTTTCTTTAGGTAACCTAAAGAAATTCTCAAAATTCTCAAATTTAATTGTGATATTACGTTGAAAAATGTTAATATACGCAGAAATTCGTCAGCCAAATATCTAATCAAAGCAATTTCTAGAGATAACCTTTTATTTAAAGTTTTTTTTATTAATCTTTGGAATAATATTTTCACAACTCCACTGTGGACATGATTCACTCTTGACAATGTGCTTTGCTGAGGTATTTATTCCTATCAAGAACGTTGTCGTCTTCATTAAAACATATTTCGGAAAACCCTTTATTTCGGTAAATGCTCTTTATATCTATCTTATTGG